GCATAATGCCCTCAAGGCTCATCCATGTTGTCGCAGATGGCAAGATTTCACTTTTAAAAATTTTTTTTACTATTTCTAAATTTATTCTTATAATTTATTTATTTTAATTTATTTGTTTTTGGCTGCGTTGGGTCTCCGTTGCTGCGCACGGGCTTTCTCTAGTTGCCGCGAGTGGGAGTTACTCTCCATTGCAGTGCGCGGGCTTCTCATTGCGATGGCTTCTCTTGCTGTGGAGCACAGGCTCTAGGCACGTGGGCTTCAGTAGTTGTGGCACACGGGCTCAGTAGTTGTGGCTCGCGAGCTCTAGAGCGCAGGCTCAGTAGTTGTGGTGCACGGGCTCAGTTGCTCTGCAGCAGGTGGGATCTTCCCGGACCAGGGCCCGAACCCGTGTCCCCTGCATTGGCAGGCAGATTCTTAACCACTGCGCCACCAGGGAAGCCCCCCATCACATCTTCTTTATCCATTCATCCACTGATGGACACTTAGGTTGGTTCCATGTCTTAGCTCTTGTGAATAATGCTGCAGTGAACATGGGGGTGCAGATGTCTTTTTGGGTTAGTGTTTTCATTTTCTTTGGGTAAATACCCAGAAGTGGAATCGCTGGATCACATGGTAGTTCTATTTTTAATCTTCTGAGGAAACTCCATGTTGTTCTCCACAGCAGCTGTTTCAATTTACATTCCCACCGACAGTGCACGAGGGCTCCCTATTCTCCGCAGCTTCAGCAGGACTTGTTATCTCTTGTCTTTTGGATGACAGTCATTCTAACAGGTGTGGTTTGCATCTCCGTGATTATTATCGATGTGGAGCAGCTTTTCATGTGCCTGTTGTGTGTCTTCTTTGGAAAAACGTCTATTCAGATCCTCTGCCCTTTTTTTTTTTTTTTTTTTTTTTTTCTGTGTTACGCGGGCCCCTCACTGCTGTGGCTTCTCCCGTTGCGGAGCACAGGCTCCGGACGCGCAGGCTCAGCGGCCATGGCTCACGGGCCCAGCCGCTCTGCGGCATGTGGGATCTTCCCGGACCGGGGCACGAACCCCTGTCCCCTGCATCGGCAGGCGGACTCTCGACCACTGCACCACCAGGGAAGCCCCCCATTTTTTAATTGGATTGTCTGGGGTTCTTTTTACTACTGAGTTGTATGAGTTCTTTATATATTTTGGGTTATTAACCCCTTATCAAATGTATGATTTACAAATATTTTTTCCTGTTCCATAGGTTGCCTTTTCATTTTGTTGACAGTTTCCTTTGCTGTGCAGAAGCTTTTTAGTTTGATGTAGCCCCATTTGTTTAATTTTGCTTTTGTTGCCTTTGCTTTTGGTGTCAACACACTTAGTTTCAATTGTTGGTTAAGCGTCTCCAGCTTTTCCTACCCCCTCAATGCAAAGCAGTAACAGCCAGTCATTGAACTGTTGCCCTCCACAAACACACTCTCTCCTCAATCATTGTACCAGCCGCCTTCTCCCAATTTGTTACTGGTGGAAGTTTACCAGCAGACTGCCACCTTGTTCCGGGCATCCACATGTTACCCAGGATGGGCTCCTCCTTGCCAGCTGGACAGTGAGTGATCAGGTTACAAATCCCCATCATGCCATCTGCTTTCTGAGACCATTCCTGGTGCCAGCTGTGTCCGTCTGGGTCCTCCCGTAAGCAGACCGTGAGAGGGAATTAGGAATGCAAAAGATTTATTGGAGGCTCATGCCTATGAAAGATCAAGGGGAGGAAGTGGGATTGGGCCGAGAAGGCTTCATTCCACAATCCTGACATGACACCTGTGGATGGAAAGAGGGGGAAAGCAAGACTGAGCAGGAGAACTGAACTCTAATGTAAACCTGACAAGGTTTTGGCCAACGCAGAGAGGGTATGGAAGGGCTCTGGAGCACAGGCTGTGCATTAGAGAGTCTCATGCCGGGGGAGGTGGTCGGGCCCAGATGCCAGCCAGAGAGAGAGTGGGATCAGCTCAAGCCCCGTCCAACCACAGCACTGCAACTGGAGGTGGGTTGCCAGCTACCACTCTTCACAGCTACATGCACCTCCTTTCTGGAAGGGAGATCACAGGGGTGCTCCCCCATGGCTGCTAGGAAGTTGTCAGAATAGTAACTTAGGATCCTAGCATCCTCCAAAGGTGACCAATGAGGACTCTATGTTTAGAATGAACTCATGGATATTAACATATTTGTTGTGCTTCAATCCTTTGTAAATAGTTACTTTTCTTTTCTTTTTTGGCCTTGGCTTGCTGCAGGAGCTCCCCTACACTTGGACACTCAAAATTGTCCCTACTTTGACCAGCGGGAGCCCTGCAAGTTGGCTAATGAATCCTCTGACACAGCACTAGAATCGTTGATAATTTCCTCACTTTCTGTTGGTAAAGATGCTCCAGGATCGTCTTGTACGTTTTCTGCCTCGGATCTGGAATCAGCCATTTTTTTCTAGGAAGCTCTGTTTTCTTTCTTCGTGGGAAACGGCGTGTAGGGACAACAGCCCGGGTGCTAAGAGTGCTCGTCTCTGCTGGACTGGTGATTGTGTTGAGGCCAGCGCTGTCCAAGACGGTGATGGGCACTTTCTACATCTGTGGCACCTAATACAGCAGCTGTGAGCCGCACAGGGCTTCTGCCACTGAGGAATGGAATTTTTAATTTTATCTAATTAAAATGTTTTTCCTGTGGTAAAATATACAGAAGTTAAATTTTACCATTGTAACCATTTTTAAGTGCACAGTTCAGCAACGTTAAACACATTCACATTGCTGTGCAACGGTCACCACCATCCATCTCCAGGACTTTTTTATCTTCCCAGACTGAAGCTCTGTCCCCACTAAACACTCACCCCAAATTTCACCACACCAACCCCAGCTCCTGGCAACCACCAGTCTACTTTCTGCCTCTATAGATTTGACTATGTACCTCATATGAGTGAAATCAAATAATATTTGTTCTTTTGTGACTGCCTTATTTCACTCAGTATCATGTCTTCAAGGTTCATGCATTTAGTGGCAGGTGTCAGGATTTCATCCCTTTCGAAGGAATGAAATACTCGACTGTATGTATCTATCACATTTTGTTTATCCATTCATCCACTGATGAACATTTTGGTTGTGTCCACCTGGCTATTGTGAATAATGCTGCTGTGAACATGGGTGTACGAATATTTGTTCTTTAAATAGCCCCATGTGTCCAGTGGCTACCATATTGATAGTTCTAGACCTTCTCAGTGGACAGAGCTAAGAAATATATTTTAAAAGAAAAATTTATATTAATTCATACTAATATTTCACATCCAAAATTACTGGTTTTTCCACTTTTTATATTTCTATCTCTTCGTCCAAATGAAAAATATTGGTTCCTAATATTACTATACTACTTATTTGTTTTACCCCACTTTGTATAATTCCAGAATAACAATATCAATGTTATAACAAAGACCAGGATTACTGCAAACAATTGTATAGTTTATAGTCTACTAGGTATGCACACACTGTTGGGTTGTAAAGTCACTTGAAATTATCCTTTCCTGTTGGTTAAGCCACCAAACTGACATAGAGTTAGGTTCTTTTTATTATTATTATTTTGTTTTCAACTCTTTTCTTTGTTTTTTGTCTTCTGTCTTATTTTGGGTTTTATAATTACACAGTTCCATAGCCAAATGTACAAGCACATTTAGAGAAATCTGGTTTCTACTACTGACCCTCCTGCCCCTGGTTAGTAACCATTTTTATGTTACTTTATAATGTAAGAAAATAAGCAAGTATATTCTTATTGCACCTGCCCCTTCTTAGATAAAATACTCTACCCACTGTCCTGCATCTTGATGTTTTTCCCTTAACGGTATGTTCCGGCAATCACTCCAGGGCAGAACATAGAAACAGTTCTTTCCCAGCCCTTCCGCTGTGCGGCTGCACCTCACCCAGCTCTCACTGGTGGACATGGGGCTCTTTTCAGTCTTTCGCTGTCCTTTTCTTTAGTAGAAAGTGCCTTAATCATTAATATGGACAGGCTCAGAGAAGCAAAGCTGACAAGGAAGAAGCTCCATAATTTGGGTGGGGTGGGGAAGAGAAGAATAATTTCTCTTAGAAAAACTGCCCTGGGCTGATATGGTGACTCAGGTCTGTTCCTCGGTCCAGAAGGGAAGAGGCCTGAGCACCGTTGCAGGGGAATGAAGGCAGAGGTAACTGCTGTCACCTGGGTAAAGTCCACAGCTCTCGGAGATGCTGCACTTTTCACGAGGCTTGATGGCTCTGATGGATCTCACCATCCCAGGATGAAACTAAGGGACTTCCTGGGCCCCACTGTGGCATCAGGAAACACTGGTCAAAGCCAGCCAGTGGCCAGCAGGGCCAGCGACCTTGCAAGTCACATGCAGGCGGGATGCTGGAAGGCGCGGGGCCCTGCAAGGACGGGGGATACGCGGACTCACTCGGGGGCCCAGGGCCCGGCACTGAGTGCACTGGCGAGAAGGACCCTTCTTCACATCCCTGCATCTCGGCCGCAAACACGCCCCAATGGGCCCGGGCAGGGCTGGGGACTGGAGAATGCGCGGGGAAAGCTCAGTTCAGCTCCAGCCCAGTGTGCCATATTGTGCCAAGTCTCTCATCTCGAAAAGAAAAGTGAGGAACCCCGATTTTATGTGAACTCTCCTGTTTTTAAAATTGACAACTAATCCGAAATTCAACCGGCTTGGCCCAAACCAGGGGAGGCAGCCTGGCGCGCCGTTCGGGCCACCGAGCAGCGCTGGTCTCCTCCGCCACGGCCTCGGTGCCCCCGCGACCCTCCGCTCGCGGCCTCGGCCTCGGCCAGCGCCCGGGTCCCGGCGCCCCGGAGCTGCGCGCCCCCACCTCCCTCCCGCGCTCGGGGCGCAAGTGGCCGCCTCGGCCTCACTGCGCCTGCGCGGGGGCGCGCCGCCGGACCGAGCCATCGCGCGAGCGGGGAAGGGGGGCGCGGGCACCCCCACACCGCGGTGGAGCCGTCCGTTGCCATGGAGCTGCCCGCTCCAAACCGCGCAGCCAGCCGCAGCCGAGCAGCTTCTCCGCCCGGAGCGCGCGCCGTTCGTACCCCGGCGGGTCTGCTGAGAGGTGGGTCCGTTGGCCCCGGAGCCTGGGGCTGGGTCGGGGACTTTAGCCGCCCCCTCAGGCACAAATCAGCGCCTTCATCGTGGAAGTTCTGCCCAAGAAATAAGTGCTAGTGCGGGGAGTGGGGTGTCGCCCCTGGCCGGTCTCAGGGACCCCAGGGTGCCGTGAAGCTTGGGTTCTGGGCTCTGCTCCGGCTCCGCGCGGACGTTGCGATGTTGTCCTTTCACATCTAGGACACCGTTGAGCAAAACTCGAGGGCTCAGCCCGGCTGGTAAGAAGAGGGGACTCTGAGGGTCCGGGCAGAGGAAAGGAATTCCGAGGTCATCTCAGTTTGGTTTTTAATGGTTACCTGTTTCTGGAAATCTCTATTATTTGTTTCCCGTAAACGCATACTCGTTTTACGTGCTCACATTATGTATCTGGCAAACACTCCTTGACCATCTGCCGTGAGCCAAGTACTGAAGCAGGTGATGGGCGGACCGGCTCTGGTACCCACAGTCCAAAGAATTCCCTGATGGGTTATCCCTGCAGACCGATGGCGAGTACACTCACAGGTACTGCTGAAGGACTGGTTATAAAGCCAGCATCACTAGTCACTACCCAAGTCCAGAAATTGAACCTGGTCAGCAGCCCAAGTCAACCTACCCCGCCCTTGCCCCATGCAGACCCTTCCCCGGTGACCATAGCCTGACTTTCTGATTCTAATTTCCTTGATTTTCTTTAGTTTTACCGTTTGTAAACAATATAATTGTTTCACCTGTTTTTAAACCTTATATAAATGGGAAAATGCTGTATATATTCTTTTTTAATTTTTGAAACAATCCCAAATTTATGTAGAAGTTGCAAGTGCAGCATAAAAAACTTGTTTCCTGGAGCAGTTGAGGAGAAGTTGCCTGCGTGGTGCGCTGTCACCTCCAGATACTTTCGTGTGCATTTCCTACACATAAGGACAATCTCCAGCATAACCACACACGACCATCAAAGACCCATAAAGTCACAAACCCGAGAGGGTCCAGTCTGGGACCCCCCACTGCACCGAGCAGTCACCGTGGTTCTTTGTCTCCTTCATTCCAGAACATTCATCAGGCTTTCCTTGGCTTCGTGACCCTGACACTTCTGAAGGTTTAGGCCGGTGACTTTGTAGAAAGCCCCTCTGTTTGGGTTTGTCTGATGTTTCCTTGTGATCAGATTCCCATTATGCGTCTTCGGCAGGGAAGCCACAGAAGTGTCACGTGTCGCTCTCTGCTCGTTCCATCCCGTCAGGTGGCTCACAGTGGTCCATTTGTCACATTAGTGACGAGTTTGCTTTGATCGCTTGATGAAGGTGGTGTCTGCCAGCATCTCGCCTGGGAAGTTGACTTGCCCTTTGTAATTGACGAGTATTTTGTTGGGCGGTACTTTGAGGCTCTGAAGCTATGTCATCCCTCCCAGGCTTGAGCCAGTGGCGCACACAGTGGACACCTACCCCCTCTCCCCGCCCCCCGCTTGGGCTCTCATACCCGACACTGGACCGACTGCCTTCCTCCACTCAGGCTCTGTCACCCAGTCTGGGCCACTGTGGACCCTGTTTCACAGGCCCACCTGGGGTGGAAGGGGAAGAAGAAAGGCAGCCTGTGCTTGTGTCTTCCTCCCTCTCAGTTGTGTGTAAGAGACTCATCCACACTGCTGCACGAGCTGTGGGTCATCACCTCCATCACCAGGTGGCTCGCCACGGTGTGGATCTCACAGTTGCTCTGCTGCCGATGGCTGTGGGTTGTTTCCGTAGTTACTGCTCTTACGAACACCGCTCTCTGGGGTCTCGTTATGGCTCCTAGTATTTATGTGTGTTAGGAGTGGAATTGTGTCTCCTCAAAAAAAAGATATGTTGACATCCTAACCCCCCGTATCTCAGAATATGACCTCATTTGGAAATTGGGTCATTGGGGATGTAATCGGTTAAGACGATGTCATACTGGAGGAAGGTGGCCCCTCCTCCAATATGACAGACATCTTTATAAACGTGAATTTGGACGTAGACACGCACACAGGGAGACTGTCACATGGATTGGAGTTACGCTGCCACAAGCCCGGGAACCAGAAGCTAGAAGAGAAGTCTGGAATAGATCCTTCCCTAGCACTTCAGTGGGAGTTGGCACCTTGATTTCAGATTTCTGGCCTCCGGAACTATGAGGAAATACTTCTGTTTTGCTCTAAGACAGCCAGCTTGTGGTACTTTGTTACGGCGTCCCCAGGAGACTAAGACAGCATCTAAGCTTCTGTAGGGTAAACGCCTAGGAGAGGAATTGCTGAGTCAGAGGGCGTGGTAAGACAGAATAACGGCCCCCAGAGACCGCCATGTCCTGACCCTTGGAACCTGTGAATGTGTTAGGTTACAGGCACTGGGAATGTAGGTTGTTAGTCAGCTGACTCTGAGATGGGAGATTGTGCTGGATTATCCCGGTGAGCCCAGCGCACCTAGAAGGGCCCTCCTGGTGGGAGAGGGAGGCGGAGGGGAGCCAGAAAGAAAGCAGCCCGAGAAAGACCACCTGACATTAGTGGCTTTGAAGTTGGTAGGATGGGGCCTTGGCCGAGGCACGTGGGTGACCTCTAGAAACTGGAAAAGGCAAGAAAATGGACCCTCCCCCAGAGCCTCCGGAAAGGAAGGCAGCCCTGCCGACACCTTGATTTTAGCCCAGTGGGGCTCATTTCAGACTTCTGACCTCCGGAACTGTAAGATGATACATCTGTGTTAAGTCCCTGAGTGTGTGGTAATTTCCTACGGCAGCAATAGGGTACCAGTGCAGAGGGCGTATATATATTTAACTACGATACAATGCTGAGCTCTTTTCAAAGCACCTGTCCCAGTTTTCCCTCCCACCGTTAGGGTGTGCGCCTCCCCACTGCTTTGTGTCCTTGGTGGCACCTGGTATACTCAGGCTCGTAATGTGTTACCGAGTCTGATGGCTGTGTAATAATAGTATGTGGCTTTACTCTGCATTTCCCTGATTACAAATGAGGTTGAGCAACTTTTTTTGCTTTATCACCAAGAAACAGTTCATCATCTGGCCAGGACTCTGTTAAGAGTTACAGGGAGCACTATTAATAATGCCAGGAAAACAGGCATGAATCCAGCCATCTGAACGTCCTTTATTGTAACCTGCCTGTTATGGTCTCGCCGTTTTGCTGTTGGGCTGCCCACCTTCTCTGTTGAGCCGACGATGTTCCTTACATGTCTTGATGGTAAACCTTTTGGGAAATGTGTTGCATTTATCTTCTAATCTGTAGTGTTTCTTAAACTCTCCTTAGGGTGTCACCTGAACCAAAGTTTTTAAGTGTACGAGATTCTACCAGCTTTTCCTCTTGTGACTTAATGTTTTTGATGTCTTGTTTAAGAAAACCTGAAGGCATGAAGGCCCCTCCGCCTTCACCGTAGCAGCTTTGCTCTTCACCTGTGAGTCTTTGGCCCCCAAGGAACTGATTTCCAGGGTGGACACCCAGCTTCTTAGCATGTGGACTGAGATGTGCATTCCCTGCCCGCCACTTGCACACGCTGCCCTGTCGGAGTTTGGGGGGTTTTTAATGCCTCTGTGGAGCAATTTGGAGAGAACTGGCATCCTGACAGCATTGAGTGTCCATTACGTGAACATGCACCTCTCCATTGATTTATTTATATTGGTTTTATTCTTTTTTAGGTTTTTGTTATGGACAATATCAAACTCACCACGTAGTGGTCCTATGAACTGTCAGGCGCCCAGCCCCCCTTCAGTGGTCACCAGAATCGAGTCAATCCTGGAGCTTCTACTGCTTCTCACTTGTAGCGCTTGGTTGATGTATTTCAGAGAAAACCCCAGGTGTAATAGTTCACGCGTAACTCTTTTTTTTTTTTTTTTTTTTTTTTGCGGTACGCGGGCCTCTCACTGCTGTGGCCCCTCCCGTTGCGGAGCACAGGCTCCGGACGCGCAGGCTCAGCGGCCATGGCTCACGGGCCCAGCCGCTCCGCGGCACGTGGGATCTTCCCGGACCGGGGCGCGAACCCGTATCCCCTGCATCGGCAGGCGGACTCTCAACCACTGTGCCACCAGGGAAGCCCCACCCGTAAGCTCTTTAGTATACAATCCTAACTGATAAAGAACTTATTTTTAGCATAACCACAAATTCATTATCAACCCCAGCCGAGTTAACATTGATTCCTTAATAAAATCTAATACCACTTGGTGTTCATTTTCCCGCATTACCTCAGAAATGTCTTCTACAGTTTCTCACTTGACTCAGGTTCCAAACCAGAACCCCCCCTTGCACGCGGTTGACTGTCTCTCACGGCTTTTACATTCAGAACAGCTCCGCTGCCCTTTTCCCCCATGGCATGCATTTGGTGAAGAACCTGGGTCATTGACTCCACTTATCCTTTCTTTAGGTCTCACTTCACGTCGCCTGACGGGGACGGGGCTTCATCATTTTCTCATCGGGGGCCCTGCTCCTTTTCTCTTGTATTTATTCCCAAGTACTTCATATTTTTTGGTGTAATTGTAAATGATAAGTTTTCCAAATCTTGCTTTCTCATTATTTGTCCTTATAAATAGGAATATCATTGATTTTTATTACCGAATTTGTATCTAGCAGCATTACTAAATTGTCTCAATAACATTAACAATTTATCTCTATACTCATTTGGACTTTCTACATGCACAATCGTGTTATCTGAAAACAACTGTCTCCCCTTCCACTCCTCATGCCTTGTATTTCTTTCTTCTCTCCTTGTTCCAGTCAGGAGACCCAGTGGCTTCAGAGAGCATCCTTGTTTTGTTCTCAATCTTAAAGGAAATGCTTTTAACGTTTACGATTTTTTTTCTTTTGGCCACGCCGAGCGGCTTGCGGGGGGACCTTAGCTCCCCGACCAGGGATCCAACCCACGCCCCCTGCAGTGGAAGCACGGAGTCTTAACCGCTGGACCGCCAGGGAAGTCTTAATAATGTTATGACTAAGTATGACGCTTCCTGTGGATTATTGTTGGCAGACATTCTTTA